CCAGTCGACGATTTTGGGCTTTGAAATTTGCCATTTTTTCATTGAACGAAAACGTTCAAAATATTGAAAATAATGAAAAATCTCCAAAATATTACACTTTCGTTCAAACTGAGTAAATCACCACTTAGAATGTGTGCAATTAAGTACTCTTCTGAATAAGTTATTTGTTGTCCGCATTACAATGGATTTGAATTTTAAAACGATTTTTTTGCGACACATGGTCTCGGGCCTGGAAAACCCGGTCCGAGAGCCGCGAAACCAATAACCCCCCCGTACGTGGAAAATAATTATCGGATCGAAGTAAAAATTACATTTATGTTAATAGCTTACCTAGTGCTACTTTGTGAATTTTTTTGAGAATTTTCGATTTTTCACTTTTGTAGACCTCTGGTCGATATTTACTGACATCCGCTCTTAAGAAAACTTTGAGTCATTTATAACGTTTTTATGAAATAATCTATCACGGTTATTGAAAATTTAAGGCTTGAAATACATTTTCGTTTTAGTCGAAATCAAACATACAGAATTTTTTACTTCTTACGGAGATTGTTAGCTAAACACCAAACTTGAAGTTCCTAGTGTTGGATTTTCAGTAGCAGGTCTAGATCACACAAAATTCGGCTTTTATCAATTTCAAAGTTTTTTGTTCATTGCTGTCATAGTGATATCGATTTTACTTAACACTACATTTTCACAAATTTCAATCCATAGCCAATTACTGGTGAACATTTTATAGCGATCGGACAAGGAAAAAAAAAACACTTTTAAGGCGATTGAAAAATATCGGTATGGTCTCTGAAAAACTGTATCGAAACACCTTATATTATAGAAGTATCTTTCAACTGTATTGTCAAGTGCATAAGCAGGCAATTTATGGGATCCTAGAAACAGTAGAAATTTAGAAATCAAGAGGGAGTTGACGTCGTGACTGAACGCTAACGATATCCTTTCAGAAGTGACCAGTAAAAATCGCTTCCGTTGCAATCGGAGACTGGATTATTGTTAACGTGATTTGCATATCTAAGTAAATATAGCACAAAAATTGTTAAGGATAACAAACATTAAAACAAAGAATTAAAAAAACAAAAAAAGTACAATGTACACTATAAGTGATGCCATGGTTAAATTGAAATGAAAAGAATTACCGACTTACTTCAGTCTATGATCTCTCGTAGTCAGGGTTTGTCGTCAACCCTGCTACTTGCAGATATCTTATTATCCACTGCCCTCAGGGTTTCACATGGGTACCTCACTGGTTGCAGAATTTTTGCCAGGCAGCTTTCGGCGCAATTGCTATTCATGATCCCTTTTGTAACGAGTTAAGCATGGAATGCTACCCAAAGTGAATGGGACTTTGAGAAAGAATACCACCCAATACTACATCTCCTACCCTTTACGAACAGTGGGTGGGTGATAAATATCTTGTTGCCATCGTTTTTGTTTTCGTTGTTGTTGTTGTTGTTTGCTAAGTCTCACACCATTTTACGTGACATAGGGTTGTGAGAAGGCGATTGTGGAACTAGAAAGTCTGATCTTTTGTGTAGACGTCATTACGAAGGCAGCACTTTCTCTGTTTTTCCGGCTGGGGTTTGACTCCGCGGTCCCCGCTCGGCATCTCGGCGCTCTCATATAACCGTGGATAAGTGGATCAGTTTCTTACGAGCCAACTGCCAACATAAAAACACCCGGTCAGTAATTCTCTATAGCCTTGGTCGGCAATTTTCCTAGGAGATAGAAAACTCTAAACTACATTTGAATGCAGGCGTTGCGAACCGCAGTCGTATTCAGAGCAAACAAAATCTAAGAACTCAGTGTCTTTTATGTTGACTCTTAAGTATCCATTGCTCTATCTTAGCCAACTCCTTTTCAAACCATAACCTTTGTAGTCTGGAAATATCAAACGTTTCACATTTAATATAAATTTTATCTACTCTTTATCAATGTTTCTTCCTGATAACTAGATTTCTCGCAGCCAGATTAATAAAAAAATCACCGAGCGTTAAAAAGTCTTGCTCAAATAGACGTATTTGTTGCGAAGTACAGCCACTGAACGCTTGAACAAGTTGAATGGTCATTCAGACACCTAAATAGCTATAAAATGAACTCTTTGAAAGGATGTGTATGGGGTCAGTTAAGTTGACGAAGGTGCCATGAAGGGAAGGAAACAAAAACAGAAACAGAAAACAACACTAAGTAACAATAGAAAAAAACCGCGGCAGGATTAGCCAGTGCTCCCAATTAGCACTTTCGTGCTAAATACATTGACACTCAAATAAAAAGCGCAATATCAACACTCTCTTCAGAAATTTCACCCATTTGAGTCTGTTTATTTTATTGCTCGTGAAGTGAGGGGCTGAAAGCCTCTCGCCAATGGGAAGTTAATAATTTTGTCGGAATTCCCATCAAGCGTGGAGCTCGCGTAATCGCTTAGCGGGCAAAACCGTGAGTTGAGTTTATATGTATCGTCTTTGTAGCCGCAGTTACCTAGCAACAAAGCGTAAAAGACTCTAATCGACGTCATTCAGCGTGGCGTCAAGGTGTATTTTACGTTTCCAGGCAAATCGACTTGCACTGGCTGGAACCGGTTTGCCGCTGACGACATAGACTGTTCTAGGCCCTGCGATAGTCGGGTCCGCGAAATTGAGAAAGTGCGAACACGAAAATAAAATGAAAGGAAACTGGGGAGAGGAAGGGAATTCCCTTCCTTTTTTTCCCGCCACTGCCCGCTTTTTCCCAAATTACGCGCTTATATTTCCGCGTGCTTTGAACTTAAGCGTCATCTCTTCTATCTAAGAGCCTGGGACAGGCTACTGACGACAATGGTACAATATCATGCTTTATCATGAAGAGCTGACAAGTTTATTCATCGACTGTGAAATGATGTTTAATGTTGGCCAATAGCGACCACTTTCTCATGCAAATAGTAAGGAACTGCACACACAACAACGCTGGATTTAGCGAGAGTAACGAGGGAGAAAACGACAGGCAGAGACTACGAAGCAGAGACAACTTGGCCTTGCCCTGCGAGGAACTTAATTTACGCCTTGGAAAACCCACTTTGAGCGTGGCCCGTTTTCCGCCGATGGAACAAAGTTTCAACCCCGTACTTGCGAACAAGTTGAACTTTCAACTTTCAAAATCCGGCAGCAAAATAATGCAAAATATGCTTTTCAGTACACATTAAAAAAATAAAGTAGGGGCATCAAAGAGCCATTAAATGGTCCCATTATGGCTCTTGGTAGGGGTACCCTGTAATAAAGAAAGATGAAGAAGAAAAAAAAGAATAAAATAGGGGTCTTCACTGATAGAATATTCCCGTCGGGTCACCCATCCAGATCCTAACCTCGCACAAACGGCTTAATTTGAGAGTGCTATAAAACACAACAACAACAAAAACAGTTTCGTAAGGGTTAATGGGAGATACGTATTTCTAGTTTTCCCTAAAGCCCATCTTACCATTGGGACAGTTTAACTCGTAAAACCTATAGTATCAAATTAAAAGATCGTAAAAACGTGAGGAAGGTGACGCAACGCGGTCGCAATCAGCTGGGACTGAAAGCAAACTAAAACGTGTAATTTTTTGCAACATTATTGCCACAAATGAGTTGAAAAGCGCTGTTCTTCTTTTTTCCACCCACGAATCAGACCTGTATCCCTACAAAGCAGGTTTTTGAGGGTTGCGAAAAGTTTTTTAAAACTTATAAAATTATACTTTTAAATTATACTTTTTACATTTAAAAGTTTGAAAACTTAAAAGTTTTCAAACTTTTAAATGTAAAAAGTATAATTACCTTCTTCTTTTTACAAAGATATTTTTCGACTAATTGCCATTCTTAAGATAAAGATAAGTTAAAGATAAGTTGACAATCGAAAAAGTACAACGAAGAGCATCGAGAATCGCTTTCGGTCAAAAACTACGCGAGATGTCATATGAAGAACGATGTATAGAAAGTTTTTGGTCTAAATAGCCTAGACTTTAATATTGATGACGATAAAGATGAAAATTTGATTTTTATAACTAAGGAATAGCAATGTCAAGCAATATCGAGGCAAATTAACTCTAAAATTATATTAATATAAAATTATTTTATATTACTATATAAAAGCTTACGTATTGTCAATACACATTTGTTATATATGTACTGAGATGTACTATAACATAATTTGACACCATCATCTGGTAAAAAACTACTGGCAAATTTTGTCACAAGTGAAAATTATCGCATGACCAATTACTGGCCGCAAACGAAAACCTGCCTTTCACTGTCCGCTTTCACTAAGAAAAACAGTAAAGTCATGTCGTCATGTTTATTATTATTTTGTGTTGTGTTATTCGCTATCCGCTTGTTAGATATGGAGAACCCACCCAACCCTGCCTAGGTATTTTTATATTCAGGAGGTCACGTCATGGCTGGGCACTCAAAAACGGACATCATTTTGTTTGACTGCCTGTTTTTCTACCGTGGTGGCAGAAATAATCTAATTAAGATCAAATAAGACTGTACTTATTTTAGGTCTGTCACAAACTAGTTGTGTTAAAATTACAAGACTAGTAGATATTTTATGGGAATTGTTGTCTCGTTGCAGTCTAACATTATTCTAGGTTTACAATACATTTGTCGAAATTATGAAGCTTTGTCTCAAGGGATTCTGGGAAATTCTTTATTTTAACTGTAATTTATTTTTATTTTTAATTACCGTGTCCAAGAATTTTAAGAATTACATAATTCGAGTCTTAAGTCTGATGTTAATACTAATAAGAGCTATACAATTTTTCCTACACAGTATGTTACCATCATTAATTTACATTGTTATTGACTGCAGTTTCTTTAGAAGCCATCCAGTTTGTACCTTTTCTGTTTTCTATGGCCGTGGCTGAGTGATGTTACTGTTCATTAACTCGATGCTGTGTGATTGCAAATTTGTGGAGCTACTGAGTTCCGAAAAAACTGAACTATAGCACAGCAATCGTTTCATCTTTTCTCTAAATCGCTGGTTGATTAACGCGTATGCAAATGGTTGACAGCGGAGTTAAACATGATGATGGTGTGAACGACAGCAAATATGGCGGGACTGAACTTGAGGCTGGTTGTTTGTTCGAGGACGTGTAGAATTACATCTGGGAGCCAAGTGATACCAAATATGGCACTGACAGTTACAATCATTAAGGTCACTCGCTTTCGCACCTTTAACACTCCCTGTATGAAAAAAGTACAAAACCATTGCAGGTTATTTTAAAGTTTGCTGGAGCAAAAAACATTTTGTCGTCAGTCAAAGGGCCATTCCCTTACTGGGATTGCTTTAACAGTTCAGCAAAAAAACTACTTAAGTTATGTTGGCTCGACTAGACTTTCACGGGCAATACGTCCAAGTTTTAGTATAAACTACGTCGCTAAAAAGATTTGGAAAAGTGATCACCACAGCTGTATTAGGTAAAGATGAAAGTTTGCTGTTAACAGTGTTACGTTGACTTCGCAGTTGCCACAGTAACGTAATGACGTTACCCTTATTTTGCTTGCAGGCGTATTTAACGACACTGGGAGGGATTTGAGCATGCATGCATTGAAGTAGCCTCCCACGCCACCTCCGCTACGGTTATGCAGTGCTGGGAGTATTCTAAAATCTGACTAAATCTTACTTTTGCCGCTCTGAGTCTATCATTTATTAGACGTCATAAAGCTTTCCCAGTGTTTCATGCAGATCCTCGTTATAATTAACAAATTTTGTCTTTCCCTTGGCCGTCCGTTAAATCGAGGTTCCATTGTAAATAATTTTTTTCTTTGTCTGATTAAGCTGTGATGGTCGTTTCCTATATCTTTGATAACAGCGACGTGCTCAAACTTGGGAGGTATTTTTCCCGAAAAATGCAGGCGAGCCACTGTTAGTGTTAACCAAGTAAATAAAATGTAGTTTTTAAGAAAGAAATAAAATCAGAAGGAAGACCGAAAACTGAGTACAATTGAGAAAAAAATCTCGTCAGAATTTAAAAAGCTTTAAAGTTACGTTCACACGGTACCGGACGAAAGTTCGACCGGCTGAAAAAATTTGATCGGACATTTCGTTCACATGGAACCGTTTAATATTTCCCTCACGAACCAGGTTGAATTTTACCTTTTTCAGCGTTTTAACCATCTGTCCTTGCCCAGAGCACAACTTAAGCCAGTCCAAAATGGCGTCTTCCAACTAAGCTACCAAGCATTCATGCAACCACGCCTTTAGGTGGTCAATGTGTTCACACCACGCTGATCAATTTTTCGATTGTACCGGCTCAATATTTGAACTCGATTTTGACGATCAACTTAATGAACGGTTGGGAGTCTAAATGTCTTTACGGAGGCTCGCTGTGAACTAAACCCCTAAACGCACGAATTTTCAACCGGTCGAAAATTTGTACAATACTAGGTGCACGTCCAGGGTATAACTTTTTAACGCGTTAAATGAAATACCCACTGTCGATTTGTGAGTTCATCGTTGTTGCACCTGGCCCACAAAGTGAACACGACTCTGGAATATAACCCAATCATCACCGCAATGGAAATGACAACCATCGTAAACCACAAGAATACGTAACCATGTTGTATCCATGTCTTGTAGTGAAGCCGCGTCTTGGGGCAGAACTTTGGATCGAAACTCTTGTCTAATGCCGTGTTTGTTGCTGGCGGGATTTCCAAAATCAATGAAAAGAACCAAAAACTAGGTATAATAATCTAGTAATGGAAAATGGAAACAACATTAAGCTAAATCGAACTTCTTTGGGCAGTTTTGAGCATGTCATTTTTTTCATTTTTGAGTCTGGTTGTGCTAGGACAATTGGTAGAATAAAAATGTTTTTCTCTCACAGTGGAAAAATCCCTAATTCATGTAACAAATTCTCAAGTCTGTGAAATGAAATTTTTTCGGGTAAGAAATGTCAAATCGACGTCACTGAGAAGTGTTGCACTATTGTACTACTCATTCATAGATACCGAACAGTGATTTACTTCAGTACATCTTGTTGCATCCGCAAATCCTTAAATAATAATAATAATGGAAACTTTATGTACAATAATTGTTGTAAATCTCGCTACGTATAGGCAATTTACAAATGCTGCTTGAGATCGAATTATTAAATGAAAAGAAAAGAAAATCAATTGCATTAAGTCTGGGCTATCCCTATTCCCATTTCTACAACAAAAGATGTAGTATGTTGCTCTAATGACTATGTTTATCATTTTCTTAATTGATTATATAAAGTTGCTGCTTTTTGTCAATGCCAATGTCATTCATCATGTCTAAGAGCGTGGAGCATTCGTCGGAGAAAACGCCAAGGGAGCTCTTGGAGATATTTACAAATTTCACACATCTGTAATTTCTACTCATTATAATAATGATAGTAGTAATAATGATAATAATAAATTATAAATTTACTATAGCACCTTTTAACATACATGTATAAATGATCGAAAGCGCTTTACGGTCATGCTAATTAGATCTAATTAAAATTTATAAAATATATCTGTGATATCGACTATGAAAGATGACACCGATTGAGAGTAAAAATGCTGATAAAAATACATAAATAAACTAGGAGTAATCGGAGATTAGGAGAGTGCGTTCGATATGTTTGCTAGGCGTACAGGTAGCAGTTGAGGGGAAAGGGTGGATGGTTCTTGCGATAGATAACTATGATTATGGCATATTTTGAAGGTAAGGGCTGCGTACAGCGAAACCTCGATTTAAACTGTGCGGTATGATAATGAAAAGGTTTTGAAGGCTAGTGAGGGATCAGAGTGATATCGTACGGTTTGTCTCAAGTGCTTGTTATCTGAGGAGACACTGGCCAGAGTGCTTCGGGCGTGTAAAAAGAACTGTTTGTTTTACTGGCGCAATAGATGTTCTACAGGGCGCCCTTGTTCGAAGGCCGACAAGCGCTTAACCCGGGTTTCTTTTTCTTTTGTCAAAAAAACATTTCTTTGGATAATTTTCTCAGTCATATTTTAAGAGCGTCCAATCATCAACTTGTTGGCAAAATGAAGCTTTCACATCTGAGTTCAAATTTCGCACTAACCCTCCTCGCCTGGGTTATTTTAACCCAGCTTTGAATAACCGGCCCAAGTACTGTTAAAAGCAAACAGATGACAAAGTTTTAGATGTAATCATTAATTTTATTTAATATTGAATATTGAATATTGAATATTGGGAAATCCACATGTAGACAATTACTGAAATTTACTTTAAAATGCCGGAAACCGTTACTGGCACGTCTTCTTAACTTGTGATCAGTTGTGATGATATTAAAGAACGACCCAAGACCACATTTTTGCGGTTAATGCAAGGGCACAATGATTGCGTTTGAACACTGGTTCACTTACATAACACCTCTCAATTTTACACGTTTCAAGGGAATCATCAAAACCTTCAGTAGCATGTGTGTGCGGCTCACGTCAATAACTTTTCCAGTAATTTGGTCGAGTGTATTGATTTCAGTGGCTTGAGTGGCGCTACTGTGCGCTGGTCATGTTTTTCCGAATAAATAACATAGAGCTAAAATGTTCGTTTCTCTAGTGCCGAAAATATCACAAGTTGTGAAGAAATGTCGCCGCCGAACTTCACACCTCGGTACATTTACTTTGTGGAATAACGGCCGCTGCCGAGCTTCACATCTCGGTAGATTTACTCTATGGCACTACGGCCGCCTAGCTACACAACTCAGTAGATTTACTTTGTGGCACAACAGACGCTGAGCTTCACGACTCGCCGGTAAATTTACTTTGTGGCACAACGGACGCCGAGCTAAACAACCCGGTTTGATACACAAAGTGAACACGACTCTGGAATATAACCCAATCATCACCGCAATGGAAATGACAACCATCGTAAACCACAAGAATACGTAACCATGTTGTATCCATGTCTTGTAGTGAAGCCGCGTCTTGGGGCAGAATTTTGGATCGAAACTCTTGTCTAATGCCGTGTTTGTTGCTGGCGGGATTTCCAAAATCAATGAAAAGAACCAAAAACTAGGTATAATAATCTAGTAATGGAAAATGGAAACAACATTAAGCTAAATCGAACTTCTTTGGGCAGTTTTGAGCATGTCATTTTTTTCATTTTTGAGTCTGGTTGTGCTAGGACAATTGGTAGAATAAAAATGTTTTTCTCTCACAGTGGAAAAATCCCTAATTCATGTAACAAATTCTCAAGTCTGTGAAATGAAATTTTTTCGGGTAAGAAATGTCAAATCGACGTCACTGAGAAGTGTTGCACTATTGTACTACTCATTCATAGATACCGAACAGTGATTTACTTCAGTACATCTTGTTGCATCCGCAAATCCTTAAATAATAATAATAATGGAAACTTTATGTACAATAATTGTTGTAAATCTCGCTACGTATAGGCAATTTACAAATGCTGCTTGAGATCGAATTATTAAATGAAAAGAAAAGAAAATCAATTGCATTAAGTCTGGGCTATCCCTATTCCCATTTCTACAACAAAAGATGTAGTATGTTGCTCTAATGACTATGTTTATCATTTTCTTAATTGATTATATAAAGTTGCTGCTTTTTGTCAATGCCAATGTCATTCATCATGTCTAAGAGCGTGGAGCATTCGTCGGAGAAAACGCCAAGGGAGCTCTTGGAGATATTTACAAATTTCACACATCTGTAATTTCTACTCATTATAATAATGATAGTAGTAATAATGATAATAATAAATTATAAATTTACTATAGCACCTTTTAACATACATGTATAAATGATCGAAAGCGCTTTACGGTCATGCTAATTAGATCTAATTAAAATTTATAAAATATATCTGTGATATCGACTATGAAAGATGACACCGATTGAGAGTAAAAATGCTGATAAAAATACATAAATAAACTAGGAGTAATCGGAGATTAGGAGA